AGTTGTTTGATGTATTCCATAATCTTCTAACATCTGTTTCATCCAAAGTAGTTGCGTGCAACAACTTCCGGCTGCAATGTATTCCGCCTCTGCTGTTGATAATGATATAGAACTTTGTTTTTTGCTTATCCAAGATACCAGATTTGTTCCTAGGAAAAAACATCCTCCTGAGGTGTTTTTTCTGTCATCGATGTTTTCTACCCAATCAGCATCGCAATAGGCTGATAGGTGATGATTGGTATCGAAAGAGTACCATATTCCTAATTTGGTGGTTCCTTTAACATATTTAATGATTCTTTTTACTGCTTTTAGATGATGTTCAGTAGGATTCGTTTGATATCTTGCGCATATCCCTACTCCAAAGCTTATATCTGGTTTACTAGCAGTTAGATATAGTAGACCTCCTATCATGCTTCGATAAAGGGTTTGCTCAACTTGTTTTCCTTCTATATCTTTTGAGATTCTTTCTGTTGTTGGAACTGGTGTTCTGACAACTTTGCTTTCTTCTAGTCCGAATCTCTTAACTAGATTCTTTGTATTTGCTTTGTGATATGAAGATCCCACTGTCTTGTTGTTTGATTTGTAGACCTAGAAAGTAGGTTAGTTCACCAACCATGCTCATCTCAAATTCTCCTTCCATGTTAGTGATGAATTGGTTTTTGTGGTGTACAAGTGTTGAGCCAAAAACTATGTCATCAACATAGATTTGGGCAATGACAATGTCTTGACCATAGTGTTTGAAGAATAGGGTTTTGTCCATACTACCTCTTTTGTAACCCTTTTTGACTAGGAATTTAGTGAGACATTCGTACCAAGCTCGTGGTGCCTGTTTTAGCCCATATAGTGCTTTGTTGAGTTTAAATACACTTTGTGGAAAATGGGGGTCCTCAAACCCTTTTGGTTGAGCAACATAGACTTCTTCTTTTAGATTACCATTTAAGAACGCCGTTTTCATGTCCATTTGATAGAGTTTTGTCTTGAGTATGCAAGGCTGCAAGCCACTGCTATGAGGAGACGAATTGATTCAATTCGGGCTACAGGGGCAAAGGTTTCCTCGAAGTCTGTCCCTTCAATTTGTGTGTATCCTTGTGCTACTAGTCGGGCTTTGTTTCTTGTTATGTTTCCTTGTTCGTTTGTTTTGTTCTTGTAGATCCATTTTGTCCCAATGATGTTGGCGTTTTCTAGTTTCGGAACTAATTCCCAGACGTTGTTTCTTTCAAATTGTTGTAATTCTTCTTGCATAGCCTCCACCCAAAATTCATCTTTTATGGCTTCAGTGATGTTTTTGGGCTCTATTTTGGAGGTGTGGCAATAGTCTCCTTCTTCCATTTTTTGATAATCTCGTTTCTTTCCTCTAGTTTTGATCCCATCATTGAGTCCAACTATAATGTTTTCTACTAGGTGATTTTTCTGAACCCTTGTGTCATTAGTAGTGTGACTTTCCTCAATTTTCTCAGTATCTTTTGTTTCTTCATTCTGTGTTGTTTCTGTTTCAGTTTTCCGTTCTAGTGGTGTTGGAACTGTTGTTTCAACAACAGTTGATTCTTCATCATCGGTGGTGGTATTTTCTGATGCTGTGTCATTGATAACAACATTTATGGATTCCATGACACTGTCTGTTCTGAGGTTGAATACTCGATAGGCCCTGCTGTTTGAGGAGTATCCTAGGAATATTCCCTCATCTCCTTTAATGTCAAACTTTCCCAAAGGCTCTCTATCTTTTAATATATAACATTTGCTGCCAAAGACATGTGTATGTTTTAGATTTGGTGTCTTTCCCTTCCAGATTTGGTAGGGTGTCATATTGGTTTCCTTTCGTATGAATACTCGATTTATCAGGTAAAATGCGGTGTTTACTGCTTCAGCCCAAAACTTTGATGGTAATCTTTTGTGATTTAAAAGAACCCTTGCCATTTCTTGGATGGTACGATTCTTTCGTTCGACTACTCCATTTTGTTGAGGTGTTTTTGGGGCGGAAAACTCATGATGAATTCCATTTTCCGCGCAGTAGTCTTTGAACTTTGTGTTCTCGAATTCTCTACCATGGTCACTTCTTAAACGGATGATTTTCCCTATTTTTTCATCTTTTTCATTCTGAATTTTGATGATGAGTGTTTTGAAGGTTGTGAATGCCTCAGATTTTTCTTTAAGGAAGTTTACCCATGTGAATCGTGAGTAATCATCAACTGTCACATAACATATCTCTTTCCTCCTATGCTTTCCGTTTGAGTAGGTCCAAATAGGTCCATGTGAAGTAGTTCTAGAATTCTAGAAGTATGTATTCCCAAGGACTTCTTGTGGGCAGTTCGTGTAATTTTGTTTTCGAGGCATGCATCACATTTTTTGTTTTCATCTATGTCGAGTGTTGGAACTCCTCAGTAGGCTCCTCTTTTTAATCCTTTTTTTCATGTCATGGAAGTTTATGTGCCCCATACGTTGATGCTATAATCGTGTTTGATTGACGGTTGTTTGTAAGCAGGTTAGATCACCGTCCCATGTGTAACATTTATTTGTGGATTTTTTCCCGATCATTACACATTCGTGATTTTGGTTGAGAACATTGCAACTGTCCTTTGAAAATTCCACTTTGAGTTCATCTTCACACAGTTGGCTTATACTAATCAAGTTTGCTTTTAGTCCTTGTACTAGGAAGACTTTTGGTAGTCTTGGTAGCCCATGAACGTTTAAAATTTCGCTTGCAATGATCTTCCCTTTTCCTCCATCTCCAAAGGTAACATACCCTTCATCTTTATACTGTATGTTCTCTAAATTTTCTGGTTTTCCAGTCATATGCCTAGAGCATCCGCTATCAAAATACCATATATCTTGCTCTTTGTTTGTTTTGGAGGTATATGCAACATTTTGGTCTTTTCTTACCCAGATTTTCTTGCTATTATTTCTGTTGTGTGTTGACCAATCTCTGTTGTTTTACCTGTAATAGAGATCATTTTGTCTTTTGTAGTAGTGTGCTTTGATGTGTCCCAGTTTATGACAATAGTAGCATCTTATTCTTCTTCGATGTTGAAAGCGGTGTTGCGACACTTCATGTATTTCGGTTTGGTGATTTTCGTTGGAGTCTGAGATTGGAGACCTGGGTCTTTCGGTAAGCTCCTTGATTTCTTGTAGCAGTTTAGCTTCTCTGTTTTTGAAGTCTAATAATTCGTCTTGAGCTTCTTTGTATCGTTTTTCTCCCCGATCGTTTTCATCCTTTAAAAACTGATTTTCTTCCATGAGTTCTAGATTTACCTTGATGATCTGCTCCCATTTGGCATTTAGTTGAGTATATGCCTCTAGTAACTCTTGCATGTCTTCGCCATTGCTACTTTCATGATTGGCGGTGAATGCTACGAAATTCGTGTTGATGTCTTCTTTACTGTCTGAATCATCACTCAGTGTTGTTATGTATGTCTTGTTTTTTCTTTTCAAGTATGTGGCACATTCCGATTGGATGTGTCAAAACCCTTTACACTCATAACATTGTATTCCTTCTGTATTTGAATTATCTCTTCGTTTTGTACTGGATGGTTTTGTACTTGTTGAATTATTTCTGTACTCTATTGAAATTCTTTGTCAATAATGCGATTGACTGTTCCATGGTTTCAGTATCAGCATCTGAGTTTTCTTCTTGTTTGGATTGTAGTGCTATTCCTTTGCCATTATTTTTCTGATTTTGTAGCATCTCAAGCTCATAGGTTTGAAGGTTTCCCATTAGGTCACTGAGTTTGTATGTATTCAGATATTTGTTTTCTTGAATTGCAGTGCCTTTTATTAGAAATCTTCCAAGTAGTGAGCGTAGTACCTTTTTGACGATCCTATGTTCAGGTATAGGTTCACCTAAGTTGAATGCATCCCCAGAGATACTTAAAACTCTGGCGCTGAATTGTGTGATGCTTTCTTCTTCTTCCATTTTCAAATTTTCAAATTCTGTTTGTATCATCTGTAACTTGGATTGTCTTACAGATGTGTTCCATTCATGATGATCACATAATATACTCCATGCAGTTTTGGCTATGCTAGTTGTAGCAATCAGTTTGAAGGTATCTTCGCTCACAGCTCCATATATTGCACTCATTGCCTTCGAGTTGAAGTCATATTCTGTTTTCTCTTCTTCACTCCAGTCACATTTAAGTTTTCTATTTCCTTTGTCATCAACTAGAGTTTTCCATTCGCTTTCTATTGCATTCCAGACACCTTCTCCTTGTGCTAAAATGTATATCTGCATTCGGGCTTTCCAGTAGGAGAAATTTGTGCCAAGTAGGGTTGGTGGCCTATTGTTTGAAAGTTCTTCTCTTGGGAATTCCATGTGGATCCTGCTAGTAATTTGAGCAGACCCGGTTTGATACCAATTGAAATAAATATAAGCGCAGCACACAGTGATGTAGAAACTGACGTTGTAACACAAACGATCTGTAACGCAGTTTGGGCAAACAACCCTAATCTGCGAGGCACTTCTCAATTTGAGAATTTGCCTAAATTCACTAAAATCTTAATATTTAAAGTACACTGTTTGAAACCGGAGATTACACAATAGAATGATCTTTCCTATCGGACTATTGAGACCTAAACACATGTACTACTTTTCAAGGGGATTTAGATATCTCTTCTCAATGACTCTCGTACCTCACAATTAGATCTTGAAAGCTTGAGTTCTTGTGATTGAGAGTGGTTTCCTTTATAGAATCAAGAACCTTAGTTTGTGTATGAATAGGTTATTAATCCTATTCATATTTGGATTATGATATCTTCTGAAAGTGGGAAATGATTTTTGCGCCAAACATTTGACAATTCGTTTGAAATCAACAATACACACAAATACGTGCACCAAACTGTTGATAGTGTTTTATAATAAGACTTCAATTTTATTATGCTACCATTTTTATTTTCTAGTTATCATAATTTAGATGTTGTTCAATTTATAATTAATCTCGAAGATTTATAAAAAATGTATTCCATCATATATTTTTCCCTTAATTTTCTTCCTTGGAAAAGCTGTTGTAATTCAAAAACAAATATATGATATCTTTTCTTTCTTTAATTTACAAGCACTATATTACAACCACCTTGAAGCTAAACCTAATGAAGTTAAAAGGCCAGGGGAAAGAAAACATAGGATATATATATATATATATATATATATATATATATGATCCAAAAACTATTCACGACCCATGACTCAACAATTCCTTCTAACTCCTGTTTTGTTCCCCATTGATGTATAAATTTGCTGCAAAATTAATCATAAAATTAGAAAAATAAACTCGGATATTTTCAAACATGTTTTGCATAAATAAATAAATAAACATGTATATATAGTGCAAGTGAGAGAAAGATCAGATGTGATTTGTGAATAATGTTTTTTCATGCAGAGTGCACTTTTATAAATATTACATTTTTACATAGTAAAATGTACTCCTTTAATTGAAGAAATTAAAGAAATTTCACCATGTAAATATAGATCGTTTAATCACTTGATTTGAACGATCTATATTAATTTTATTTTTTAATGCTAGTACGTATTCTCACATGATTCGTTATCTATATATAAGAATGAGTGCTAGTGTAAGAAATGAAAAATAAATATAAATGTCTAAATGAAATGTTAAAATATATGTGATCAAATGAGAACAACTTGAAAAGTGAGAATAGATCTAGTCGCCCATCAGGATTTCATGATTGATGATTTTAGTGAAAAATACAAGTCAATTTTATAATTATGATAAACTTTCAAGTTTGCAATATTTATAAAACTAACATTGTATATTTTCCTATTATTTTCCACTCATTCTCAACTATTAATCTTCTCCCAAAAGCTAAGGTTGATAACCCCAACCCCAATGCCCCCTACACCCCAGCCTGACAGAACATTTGGGAGTATGTAAATCACGATGACTCAATGACTCAATAGACAGGGTCAAATGCTGGTACGTACAAGGGATATGCCCACTGTCATATATACACACAAACTCATCATCCCTAATGGTGTATTTCCGAACGCTGTGTGGTGCTTTTATTCCTACCTAATAGTGTGTTTTTAGTGACGTGTATCTATTGTGTGTTTTTTGTAGTGCATTTCCTAACGTTGATGGTGTATATTTGCTTAACTATTGGTGCGGCCGCACTGACCGCACGAGCCGCATCTGAACTTATATATATATATATATATATAATATATATATATATATATATATATATATATATATATATATATATATATATATATATATGATAGAATTGTTATTATTAACTATATATAATCATGAATTACAAAATGCATGACATACCATATCCCTTTGGGCTTTCACTATTTTGATTAGCAATTCATCTCCTGCTAGTCTTCTCAAGCGCTTAACCATTTCAAGCCGTGTCATTTTCCCTTCCTGCATACAATATAATGCCAAATTTCAGCATGAACCATTACTATATATCTGCACGTCCACACTAATCAAGAAGACTTTTAATTTCTTTTTAACATTTAAAAAAATAAAAATATTTGAAGTACTTAATTACCCTGTGATCCTTCACATATGTTGTGATCGACTGCATGATTTGTGGAGGTAAAAATTTTGCGAGTTCAGAAACCAAAGATGGAAATGTAATCCTCGGAGAATTTGGTTTCTTTAGAGAGGAAACCGAGTTCCTTTGAACCTATCAACCAAATATTTATACAAGAAGAATTTCATTAGATTAAGATGAAAAATATTTATAGTTAAAAACATCAAAAGAATTCTAACCACTTTTGGTCTCACGAGTTCAGTGATGTTATCACTATTAATACAGTACTATGAAAATTGTCATTGTAAATATGCATTAATTTTTTTATTTCTGGTCCTCCCAAATCTCATTGAATTTTGACACATAACATGTGAGTGAATGTCATGTGAACAGACATTTTGTCGTACATATAACAAAATTCATTGAGATTTCACCACAGGCATTCCTCACCGGAAGGACTAAAATGAGAAAATATAAATTATGCATTTATAATAACAATTTTTCTGGTCCAATTATAGTGAAAACGTTATTACTCTATCTGTTTCAATATTCCACCTTAAAACAAAACCATAATTAAAAAGAGACGATTAAAAGTAAAAGTAGTACAACTCACCCCGAACAAATTGTGAGCATTAAGGGTAGAGATGGTGAAGCTGATGATATAGAGAGGCAAGATGTGAGTGTTGATGTTGGTACTCCACACAATGTACTTTTTGGGAAAAACCAAATCATCAACACCACAATCAAACTCTTGAGAAGTTGGATGCCATTGCCTCGAACCGGGCCGAACCAATTCCGTCTTCCCCAAAATCACCCTGCAATACAACACATGCCGCACCCCATTTTCATCCGCCATGGCTGAATTCAAACTGAAACACATGCACAAACATTGCTTCAAAATGTTAAATCTCAAACACAAATAGTATGACCCCATTTGTTTTTTTTTTTTTTTTTTTTCTTATAGTGTGTGCATAAGAAAGTAAAAAATTGGAAATGATTTTAGTTAAGTTAGATCAGACTACACACTCTTTACTATAAAGTTATAAACTTGACTTTCAACACTGACAATGTATTGACCTTCTTAGTTTGAAGAGGTCAATTATAAACAACTTAGCTAGTTTACCTTCTTTAGAGAAAGATTATCTAGTACACACTCTTGGGTAATAGTTGTGAGTTAAAAAAAGAATAAATTATCATTTTGGTCTCTCAATTATTTCCTAACTGTCAATGTAGTCCTTAATTTTCAATTTCAACTAATTTGATCCTCGAATTATTTAAAACTTTGTCAATTAAACTCCTTCACGGGCCAAAATGGTGATTTCTACATTTTTAAAATTTCATCAATTTGGTCTTTCAAAGGATTTAATTGACGAAATTTTAAACAATTCGAGGATTAAATTGGTTAAAATTGAAAACTAGAGAAGACATTGACAGTTTTGAAACAATTGAGAGACTAAAATGTTGATTTTCTCCCCAAAAAACAAAAAAGTCAATCCTAATCAAATTGGTTGGTCACACACTAGATTTGGTAACAACAAAAGTTACAAATTAAACTATTAAAAGAAGTGGCCTATTAAGGTTCTTAGTTTGAGCGTAGAACAACATAAGTTAGTTTACCTCTTTTTATTTGTTACGATCACAAAAACAAATTTATCTAATGTACATCTTTGAATAGTGATTCAGGTAGTGACGGATTCTAGTAAAAAAGAAAAAACAAACAAAAAAACAAAAGTGTGTGGAAATAATTACCATCCAAGAGGGAAATGATCAGGACAGAGATAAACTCCATGGCCAAAGCTTCCATCTTTGTTCATAGAAGGATCAAAGCCGTGTTGAAGAATTGAAGTGAGTTCCTTCTTCGACGCTCCAAGCCAAGCAAACTGCATATTCCCATTCCCAAACCCAGACTTCTCCTCCACCGCTTTTGCAAAAAGGCTGAAACTCTGAAGCTTCGCCTTCTTCATTACCGAGCTCGAAAACTCGTTCTTTTCAATGGATTCTATGGCCGCCTGCATCCCCACACCCATCAAACCCGACACCAGTTTCCGTTCCATAATCTGATGCTCTCTATTCCCTTCTTCTACTCCGATCAACCTGCTATTCCTCTGTTCATGGAGATCCGTGACGGAGCTTGAACTTCCCGTGCACGAATGCTCTTCCTCTTCCTCGTCCTCCGAACATCTTTTCAGATTCTTCGGAGCTAACAAACGTTGTGTTTTAGGGACGGTTTTCTGTTTCCTCTGCGGCAATCTGTTCTCCATTCTCGCCGGATTTAATGGCGGATATATATATTCTTCAATGAAACAGAAGTTTCAGGGGAAAACAGAGGGGCAAACTGATCGCTATGGAATTGGGAGTTGAGTTTTCATGTGTATAAATATATATACGTTTAAGGATTTGAATTGAATCCGAATAGGAATGGGAGTAGGATTAGTAGAGATTACTTGGGAAAAAAGAATTGAATAGAAACCGCCACACGCATTTTCCATACATATATATATAAATAAATATATCAGTTGAATAATTTAGTCGTAGCCGACTTTTTGGGAAAGGTCGGCGCGTAGGCGGTTAAAGCTTAAGGGCTCTAGGCAGCGTATGGCAATCGTTCATGCTGTGTCTACTTCGTGTACGTGACTCAAAAGTTTTTATTTTTTTATTTTTTAATAGCAATGATATAAATAAAATAATAAATAAATAAATAAATAAATAAATAAATAAATAAATATATATATATATATATATATATATATATATATATATATATATATATATATATATATTTTTTTTTTTTTTGATGGTTTTTGGGTTTTAGGGCCCAAGGAGGTCCAACACAACCTTTAGCTGGAGGATACACCTTTCAATAAAATGAGTGTCTCAAAGGAAAGAAAGTGCTGCTTAGAATCTCCTCTCTTCCCCCTCCGGGTCCTCTTTTGTGTCTGTCTTCTACAAGAGTGGAGGAGCCTTTATATAACGGCTCCTCCCCCACTGACTTGAAGGCCTTTAATAGCCAACTTCAAGACTAATTAAGTATCGAGCCGTTGGTCGCCTTTACTGAGTCGGCCAACGGCTCTCTCAAGATCGTAATAGCCGGACCAATTCCAGCGTTTTAATGCTCTAACGGTTCCCTGTTTAAGAGTCTCTTTGATGATCTCAACGGCTCCTTGAGCCGAGTCTTTCTCTGGGTTTGGGGCCTGGCCGACTCCTCGCCCTCGGCCCAAGCTCCTGTTGGGCTCTTCTTTAGCTATCCTAAGCTAGGTCCCCGTACTTGGGCCTGGGCCGACTCCTGGACTCGGCCCAAGCACCCTCCGGGCTTCTCCCGATGCTAGCCCACCTTTCCTGCCTTGGGTTCTCTTCTTTGGGGCAATCTTTCCTGGGCCGGGGTCCTCACCCCATCAACTAGTCCCTCACTTTTCCATACCCGGTCCGCTAACATGGGTTTGGAAAAGTAGTAACTGTCCGTCTCCCTCAATCACCGTATCCGTGCCTTGAATAGCCCTTGTAACGCCCGAATTCTCTGCCCTTCTCCCGGATTCTATGGGACCGTTTGGATTCTCCCAGCTTGACTTGGCACCTATAAAAGTCCTCACCTTTTCTTCCTCTCGTACATAAGTCCAACATGGGTCGTTCACCTCTGAAGGGGAAACGAATTGACTTCGGGTCTCCTTGGCGTCCGCTACCCTCAAAGCGGACTCGCCCTGAAAGAGAGCACAAAAGGAAGACTCCTCGCCCGGCTACTCAAAGGTCTCCTGCTAGCGCCACTCCCTCGGCTCCTCAGCCGCCGACTCCTTCTCGACGCGAGGTCGCTCCATCGTCGCACCATCCGCCTACTCCCACGACTGCCAGAGTGACTTCTCAGGACGGGTCCTTCGTTGAAGTGGCCATTCCAGAGCAGCTAACTTTCCGCATGACTTTCTCCATCCCGCTGGATGACTTGGACGGGCCGGTTACGGGCCTAATGAATGATGAGGATTACGTCCGCTACCTGGAGACGTATCCGGACGATGAGGAACCGATTGTGCCACCACTTATGCCAGCCTTCTGGGACTCGTTCTGTCCATCTCCACCTGGACCATCGGGGGAATCCTTCGGGAGCGGTCCTTCCTCGCCTGGCGAGTGATTGTCTTGGCCGGAGTCGGCCTCATATTGCCGAGGGGTCTTATTTTAGGAGCATTTTCATTTTCCTTATTGTAATAAGCTCCTTACTGCTTGTACCCTTCTTCTTAATAAAAATGCTATCTTTCGTCCTATGTTATATTTCGTGTTTTGTCGCGTACCCATCCGGACGACTGGTCAAGGAGTCGGTCATATCATCAGGCCCTTTTAATTCTGACACCTGCAAGATTCCCCGTATCTCGGGCGAATCCAATCTTCTATGCGTGACGTGCGAATCTTGTTCTTCCTGGGCGGATTTGATGGAACTAATCTCTGACAGAGATTCGCGTCATCCGTCTAATCCGGCTCAGTTATGTCAGTTATAATCTCCTCCGTAATTATTGCCTAGATATTCGCCTTCACTGGGCTATATAAGGACCCTTCACAGTTGATGCAAATCGCAACCCTCTTCATTTTGCGAAAGCACGCCGCTATGAGTTACAGAGATGGTGATCGCCGCTGGTCCATTCGCAACAAGGAACATGCTCGACTGGAGCAGAAGAGGCTGGCTAATGGGGGTCGTTTGGTGGGCGACTCGGCTTCAGACCCCATTGTGGTGCCCCCAGACATGTTGGACCTAATGTGTAAGGAGCCTATCGATGTGGAGATGGAGCCTGTGGTTGCCATGTCGCCGAGCGCTCAAGAGAGGCCCTTGCAAATGATCGATGACGGGAAGCCAGCCGTGTATCTGGACGAAATGCCGGAGCCTGAGCCGAGTCCTCTGCCTTTCCGCTCTCAGTACTTTCTGGAAGGCCCTCCGACTGCTCGCCAGGCGACAGAGAAAGAAGCCAAGCCTTGACCCGTTTTTCTCTTGTAACTTGCATCGGCCGAGTTCTGGGCCTTGTAATCTTCGTACTTATTAAATAAACTGTGTGCTTTTGTGTCCGACCCTACCTTTTCTTATTATTTTGTCGACCGACCTCTGGTCTGCGGGACTGATTCCTAGTCTTGCTACGGCGAGACCCTCTTGGCGAGGGAGTCGCCGGATCTGATTGCCGACCTCGCGACCGGAGTCTCTTCGTGAACTTGGCTTATATCATCCGATGGGCCGGGTTCTACCGGGTCGTTCTAGAAGTTTCTAGCTCGTACCTCGTGGGCCCAGGGGCCATGGCCTACGATGGGCTTCCGGCTTAGCAGGCCGGGTCACTGACGTCCGTCCCTAGCCTAGGGCAGACACGCCGTTCACAGGCTAACCCTAGGCCTGAACCGTCGCCCCGCCTTTTGAGGCATTAAATGCGGCGTCCCTTCACATCCCGTCACCTCCACTTCCTCCAACGAGAAGGTGGCACGTGGCCGTCCTTTGGAATTCCTCCCCCTTTAAATGGCCACTTCGTCTCTCTTTCCATTCTCTTCTCCAGTCTTTCCTTTCAACCTCAACTTCGAGCTTCTCCGGCCACTCTGCATTTCCTCCGATCTCTCATCTAACTTAGGTAATGTCTTCTTCTTCGCACTCTTCTTCTTCCCGTCGTTACTCGGTCGATAACCCGGCGGCGACTTCCCCCTCTTCTTCTTCTCCTTGTTCGTCTTCTTCTTCTCCTCCCCGTCGTATGGAACTTCCGGCAGACGTTCCATCGACGTCTTCTCTTCCTCTGACCCCCTCTTCTTCGGGGGCGGTTACTCCGATGAGCCCCGCTCCTTTAACGACGGTGGCGGCTCTGCCGGACGGCATCGGACGTCCGCGGGGCAAGTTCGATTCAATCGTCCGTCCTTCCGGGCCACCGTCCGTCGTTACTGCGGCGGACCTGGAAATGGCCCAATACCTTCTTGGGCCTTCAGCCTTAGTCCTTGCCCCGGAAGGCCGGCAAATTTACGACCCACCCGAGGGTTATGTCGGCATTCATCTGCACTCGGTTGCCTTTGGCTTCCGAGTTCCTCCGTGTCCTTTCCTTTCCCTTTTTTATCGCCATTACAACTTAGTTCCGGGCCAATTAGTGCCCAATTCTCACCGACTCCTCACCTGCTTCGTCAACCTCTGCCACTGGTGGTTGTGCGAGCCGGATCTAGACTTGTTCCGGTATCTTTTTACCGTGAACAAGGTCGGCTCACACTCGCCGGGCTTTGTTCAAGTCGCCGCTCGCCCGGGGCGACAGCTTTTCGAGGGGTTGTCCGACTCCATTAAGGACTGGAAAATCCTCTATTTCTTTGTCCGACCTGTTTTCTCTTCCTTCACCTTTCCGACCCTGTGGCCGGCCGCTCTATTCAAGCCTTGCTCTCGGCGTGCCGTCCCTACCAACGATGCGGTCCAGGGCGGCGAGTTCTTGAAGGGCTTTGGGCCGTACTCCGTCAAGTACTGGTCCCGAGTCCGGGCCATGGCTAAGCGTGGCTTGCTGCCGGAAGGTGCGGCCATCATAGGTAGTTTTCGTTGCCTCTCGTTCCTCTTCTTTTTATTCTGTCACATTCCGACTCGAAATACTTATGACTTTCCTTCCTTTCGCAGGTCCGTACGACTCCGACACCTCCAGTTCCGATGAGGCTGCTGAACCGACTCCAGAGATGACGGACAGAGCCGAAAAGATGAGGCGTCGGCTGACCCAGCGCGCTTCCGGCGCTGCTGCTGCCTCTTCCTCCCAACCGTCGCCGGCTCCAAGGTCGACTCCTCCACTACCACATAACGTGGTCGACCTGACACCGTCACCCGTCGTGTCGCCGACTCGACAATCGCCTCCTCCTCACTCTGACAGTCCGAGCTCAAAATGGCCGGCTGAGCAGACGGACATACCGACTCCGAAGAAGATCCGGTTGAGCCACGAGGTGGACGAGGATGCCCAGATCTGGCAAGGCAACTCCTCCGTCCGCAAGTGGGCCTCAAACGTCCTTCTCCCCAAGGACGTGGCGGTGACTGGTGGCTTGGGGGACGAGGTCATCATTGAGGCCTCGCTACGCCAATCATACCGCGTAAGTGTTTCCGACTCGTCTCTTTTTTCATTCTTTTTTCTTTCACTATCTGACTTCTGGTTTGCCTTGCAGAACCTCACCTTCCAAATGGAGATGAGTAGGCAACTGAGGGAGTACAAGACCGGGCTGAAGTCTATAGCTGTCCGAGTGCACAAAACGGAGGAGGCCTTCTTGGAGGAGCAAGCTAAGCACGCCAAGGCGGTGGAGGTGCACAACTCCGAGATGCTGAGGGTCACTCGGCAGTGGGAGGAGGAGCGAGACAAGGTGGCGACCATTGCCGCGACCTCGGTGGAAGACTACAAGAAGTCGGCGTCCTTCGAAGCGGACGTGAAGGCGGCGATAGAGGCCCGGCAGAAGGAGATTTCCAAGGCTTGGCTAGCGACGCCGGA